CTCGGGCAGGGTCGCCTAGGAAACGGGCCAGGGGCGCGCCGACCGAGCCTCCCTATGGCCGCGGTTGTGAGCCAGGCAGGGGCAGAGAGCTGCGAGTGCGAGCGCGCCCCCCCAGATGTTGCGCCCGGTGCGGCCGGCCCGGAAAAAGGTGCCGGAACGCGGTTCCGCCGCGTTCCGGCTGAAAAAAAGCCCTGCTCCTCTCAATGGCTGGAGAGGAAAAAAAAGACTTGAATGGAATACTGTATTCAGAAAAATCCTTTCACTATTTAATTTGAATGACAATAAATAATAAATTTGTACTTCTTTTTATCCCCATTTTATCAATTGTTCTCAGGCTGTATGGAAAATCTTTGGAAAAATCAGCTTAAAATATGAATTTGCCACTTTTAAACTTTCATTTACATTTTGTTACATGTACAAGTTTTGTAGCATAGCAAAACTAATAGAAAGATGAGATGCCTGGACATTGGATAGATAAAATGCATGCATAGGTACTTAGGAGCTTCCTTAAAGCAGAAGTATAAACTTTATCTGCCATGACCACCAACCGTATCTGGCAAGACAATTATAATGGAATAAACAGGCTGCTTTAGAACGTAATGATAATCAGACCACATACCTGTCAAGTATAATATCCTGCTTGCCATGATGTACAATAACCTACTTCCCAAGCCTGTTTCCTCTTATTGTTCCTAAGTAGATGGCACTATTGTGCTTATTGATTTCTGTTCCAAAAAAATACAATTGTTTCAAGACATGTAGACATGAAACTCCAGAAGGCTTCCATGTATGCTTTTGGTTGTTGCCACATCTGGCCTTCAGAAGATTCAGTAACATAATAATCTAAAGAGTAAAAGCACTTCTTTAATGATCCCAAGTGTATTGTGAAGCAACGTCATTTAGGCATCATTTGCACTTCCTAAATGATGTCTGAATCATTGGTCTGGCTGAAATTTATAAGTTATTGATAACAGTAAATCCAGAAATGGAAGCAGTTTGGCTGGCATTTAGTCAAACTGCAAATCTGAGTATTCACAATATTCTTTCCCAAGATGGACTATTATCTCTGTTCACAAAGATTTTTCCCAAAATATTCCTACCGGACTAAGGACAGGAACCTCAGCTCAACAGTTTAGGTTTTAGAATTATGGGCAGGCAATCTGTCCTTTTAAAAAGCAGAAGATAGCATGCCTGTAATTCATATATAAAAATTAGGCATCAAAATAAATATGTTAAAACATTTAATAGACATGATGCACTTATTTTAATTTTGTTTTAAAACAAAGTTAAAATCCATAAATGTTTGAAAATCCTGGGCTCAGTGTTTTGATAATATCACTATGTCCCCTGCTGTCTGTGATTAAAAATAGGCTTTAAAATGTGCAGCCCAAGACAACAAAAGGATGTGCTTATTTTGGAAGTTGATAAAAATTAATTTTCGCAGGGATTCCAGCATACATTCTTGATCTTAAATATCTAGGAATAGATAAACTAAGGACTAAATCTCTTATCAGTTAAATCAGATGCTGGTCTAGATATTGTTTGCATGACATTAAAAGGAAACTAAAAATAAATACAGAAAACAAAAAAAATTCCCTTAGCATTTGCATTTCTCAGTACAATATGTTTGAAAAGATCAACCGTAATAGAAAACAAATAAAACAGATAACAGCAGAAGAGACTACTTCAGAGAATGTTTTCATGATAGATAATTAACTCCGTTTCAGTACAGCTTCACTTCAATCAGTACAAAATCAGTAGGAAACTTTCATGCTTTTTTGTGGTGTAAGAACTTCTTGCTTGTCCTGTTCCCCCTTTTGTAAAGAAAACTGCTGACAATTTTTGGCTTGTGATTTATCTCCTGTCATCATCTACTGTAAACATCAAACAATATTATAATGAACTTGTTTTTTTTTCTGAAACAAGACTATAAAGGGAACATGGAACATCATTAGTGGATGTTCTCTCGAGTTTTCAAAAAACACTATCAGGTTTAACACTGAAAATGGTTCCCAATTAATAAATCAAGAGTTTTAAATAGGGTATTTTTCAAATGGATTAAGTATATTAATTATGGATATTGTGATATTTTAGTATAATTTAAAATATCATTTATAGATAGATGGTTTTCATGAATGCAGAAACTTTTAAACTATTTTTTCCTTCAGTTTTTTTTGAAAGTAACGTAAGAATGTCTGCATAGAGGAACAAAGGCATTAGAAGTACTATGTAAAGTCAGTTTCTCACCAACTTTGTTAAAGTTTGTTAACCCTGTTAAATGTCTTTCACATTTCCTTTTATATATAATATTCCATGTATGAGTTTTTGTTCTCCACTTCTGTAACATTCTTGTAATAGCATTCATTTCTAGACATTATGTTGCTTACTTTAAAACAACTATGTTTTGAAAAAAAATAAAGCCACATTAGTCCATAAATGTTTCTGTCATGTGAATTTGTTCATATTATTATTATTTTTCTTTTTTCTTTTATTCATTATTACTCAGTAGATTCTTCCCATTCCTCCTTCCATCCTCCTTCAACTACAGATGGGGCAGCAAGTGCAATTACCACTGATAATGCAAATACCAGCTTAGTCAATGGTACGTTAAGAACACTGGGATTGTTTTTATTTGAACAATTTCTCTCAACTCTGTCAGCTTCCCTCTTTCTCTCCTGAACTGCACAGATGTGGGATGTGCATGGGGTACTGGGTGAGAGCTCCTATTGTACTGCAGCTTATAAGAGATGCCACACAGCCAACCACTTTATAGCCAGCCAAATTGGTCTTTCTCACTCAAGTAACACTGGGACCAGAACAAGTAGGAATCTAGGGACCTTTTCAAATCAGACTCAAGTAGGAATTAAGGACTTTTACTGTTGAATCAGATTTTAAAGACCATCTTCAAGTATATTTCAAATCAGTTTTCTCCTTGCAAAGGTTTTCAATAACAAACTGTTGTTTCCATGCTTCCCAATCCATACTTGAAAGATGGCATGATTGTCTATTTTGTTTCTCATTCTATTTTTCCAAAGTGGCACTCTCATAAGCATTCATGGTCTCAATGTAGCTTTGGGAAAACAATTTTCTTGGGGTCAGGAATTTGGCTTAAACACAACTAGTAACATTAATGCACTTCATTGTATTGTTCCACCAATTTTTCTCAGCACCAAGTTAAGTATTTTCCATAGATTATGATGCTAGAGTAACATATTTTTAGAATAACATATTTTTTTATGAACTATCCATGTGTCTTGAATGTGGCTTCATGCATTTTTTTTTCCTTTGAACAAAAATATCTTCAGTTTTGAAATGTGGAATGTGTCTTTGACCAACTTCTTGACTCCTTTCTTAGCATGTTCATATTATAAATTCTATATCAGGAAATAAATTTAAGGGTGGTTGGGGAATTTTAATCTGAGATTTAGATGAAATATTTGTATATTGTTGAAAAATTTTGTTATATTCATTTTATTCTTTGGCATCAACATTATTGCTGATACTATTAATAATAGAAGCATAGATCCATAAACCGGATTTGGATCTAACTGGATCTTACCAGTGGCAACAAATAGGGGCAAAAAAATTGTGAGTAAGTATAGATCCTGTATTTTTCTTTTCCTCTGCCTAAAAAAGAAAACAGAACAAAAACAAAAATGGTGAAAAGGAAGACATTCAAGGCATTAGTTTCAATTTAGTCATGAGATATAGATGGTAAGTTACATACCTATCTGCTTAGGTAATACTAGTATCAGATTATATCCATTGATACAGGACAAAGGGAATAGCAGTTCCCATCAGCTCTGAAAAGGAGAACAAACAGGAGGTTCCTGTGTGTCTTCAGCTGGTAGCTATGGCTTGGCAGATCACAAATGCTGAAGCATTGCAAAGATTACAAAAATAAAACCAGATTATTTTTTATTATTTAAAGTCAAGTAAGTTAAATTCTATAATCACATCTACAGTTAGGACGAATTTGACTCTCAAAACACATAGTTTGCTACTGGATAGTGTAACTTTCTATCCTATAAAATAGATTCTATCCTTCATAGTTAAACAACATGTGTATTCCAAAATATATAAAAAGCAATCATACGGATTCATGAGCAAAACCAAAAAAAATATACCAAAAAAACACAGCCAGAAGTGTAGCTATTATATAAAGTTGATTAATCTTATTAATTTTAAAGTTTATTCTTCAAGTCGGTGCTTTTACTCATGGTGACTGCCTGGACTAGTTGCAGTTTTCTTGACAAGATTTCAGAAATAGCTTATCTTTGCCTTCTTCCTGTGACTGGCTGAAAGTCATCCATGTGGTTTTGTGCCTATGGCAGGACTAGAAACTTCCTGGTTTCTAGCCTGGTGCTTGATTTTCATTTATGTTATGTTATGTTATTTTGTGTTTTATTATGCTAATTATATTTATTATAGCAAATGGAAGAAATGTGAGGAAATGCTATTGTGATAAGTACATATTTTGAGACAAGCTCTGCCTATTTTAGTTCTTCTCTGAATTTCAAGTAAACTTTAGATGATTTCATCCTAATTCTCCCCTGGATTATGGAGCAGTAGAAGAATGAAATGTGTATAATTTAAAACACATTGCAGATTTCTTTGTAACATTCTATATTTAAAATATGTGCATCCAGCTGTTCAAGACAATGCACCATAAACTAGTAGGGATATGAAGTTCTGTGTAACCATGAAACATTTGAAAAATGGCATCCATAGGATCTGTTTCAAAATTCCTTTTTAACTTCCAGCTGCTTCAGAAACAGTTTACATGGGCTAAAAATGTGTCTATGCTGAGAGGAGATATTATTTGAGAAAAGCAAATCTAAACATTTCTTGGTTTTTGAAGTTCTTTGTTTCCTAGTGAATAGGGACACAGCTTAGTCTTTTTTCTAATTTTAAGCATGCCAGACTCCTACATTTCACCTTGTTGAATCTTATTGATTTTGTATGGTACCTTTTCAAAACTGGGAGATTGACTAGAAAAAATACCCTAGGTGTAAACTGAAATTATAGCATTTAATAAAAATCTAATTTAAAGGTCTCTCATTTTCTTCTCCCTTAATGCATGCTTCACATCAGCTACCCTTTTTGTTTTGTTGATTGTCTTCTCAGTTAACAGTTATGGAAAACTTGAGACCCTAACATTAATTTAAAAGCTGTTCTCATCAAGTTGTCATAACATGAAACTCTTAAGAGCAGTTGGGGTTCATAAATCATCTGCATTTAGGACATGCAGAGATCTTGCTTTCTGATGAAGACCTGCATGTTTTAGTTCCTGATAAATGTATGACTGTAAAAGTCCTCTATCCTAAGTGAATAGCATAATTTGGACAGAGAATTTTCGTTTTATTATTGTTTTGTTTTTAAAAGGCATGTGCTTGATTATTTGAATGAATCAAAATAAACTAGGAATTAAAAACTGTATTCCTTCAACTGTTGCTGAACTGTTATCCCATCACTGTCCGCTATAGAGAGATGCTAAGATCATTTAGTGATATCTGATCCAGAAACTGAGTTTTATTGATGAAAAGGCAAGAGACAAATTGGAGGCATGATAATAAGCAACATGATGATGATCATGGAACTACAAAGCAATAGATTTGACTTGACAAGAAAGGAACTAAAAGCATATTGTATGTGTGTTTGTGTGTGTGTGTGTGTGTGTGTGTGTGTGTGTAGGGGAGAGAGAGAGAGAGAGAGAGAGAGAGAGAGAGAGAGAGAGAGAGAGAGAGAGAGAGAGAGAGAGAGAGAGCCTTTCTTATGCATTGGCATAGCTTCAACAGGAAGAATCCACTGAAATGGAAAACAATGTTCATGAAAATCACATTCAGAGTTGGAATTACAGTATTTCAGAATTAAATAATAGTTTTATTCTAAGAAAGCATATTTTGGAATCTCCTGGAGGTAAGAAGATGAGATATCAAAGGAAAAATAGAACCAGGAACACTTACCATTTAAGCAGATTGGCTGCTTAAGGAAAACTAGGAAAGTTGTAGTGGGATTTATTCAGCAAAACCGAAAAATAAATATGAGATTTAGTTCTCCTAAGTGTCCCCATTATGTGTGGCATTGATATCTACTTTGATTAGGATTCTCAAAATATTCAATAGTTGCTTCCATTATGATTTTTATGGTTTTATGTTGACTGAACCTAACAGTTTTCAATTTACATGCATTCAGAATATAATTTTATTCTGTAATAATTTATAACAAAAGCAATCATTTTTACATTTGATGAACTGTTCTTTTTGTATAGAACACTTAATCTGAAAATGCTTCATGTAGTAATTAGATTTTAACTATATTCTAGTCTACATCTTTTATTTATTTTGCTTCCCCTTTCACCAGACAAAACTAGCATGCAGAAATTGTCTCTGCATCTAAGAGGATACAGTGTAACATTCTGGCTGTGTTGAAATTTCCAAATTATTATTGTATAATAAAGTCTGAGATCTAAACACACATATATTTTGACAGTTTAGTGGAGTTGTTTTAAGTCTTGTAATAGATAATGTGGAATTGAAAAGATGTCATATCCATCAAAGCAATCTGTAGAGTTAGCTGTAAACTATGCAAGCACAAAAATCTGTGGCTTGTAGACATTCTTTTCTCATTCTATAGTTTCTTGAAGCTTTCAAGGGAAGTCAATTGTGACAGGTTGGCAGTGAAAAACCATGGCAAGATAAGCTCTCTAGTGAAGAGAGCCAGCAGACAGAAGCCCCCACAATCCTGGCTATGTTTCTTTCCTTTTAAAATAAAAAGTAGAAAATTCTTTCCATAGTAGTCCCAGCCACTGAAGAATGATATAGGCAGCTATTACGTCTGATGCCATTCTGGAGGACTTGTCTGGAGTGTTAGTCACTTCTTGCTTGATTTGGTGTCTCAAGAATGTAGTGAAATTAATGAGATTGTTTAAGAAGTCAAAGATCAATGGTGAGGCTGTATCCTCTGGCTGTGAATCCATTTGATCCTGAGCTTGATTCCTTTCACTCTTCCGGACATCGAAAGGTATAAGTTTGAAAATTATGATGGAGTTTCATAATTGGCTCCATCTGTGTCAGCGGAGAAAAAAAAAGCTTGATAAAAAGATGCTTAAATTATAGTGTAAATGCAATAAAAAAGTAGATTGCAAAATATCAGATTAAGATTTTTAAAATATCTAGACATAACTAAATCTTAGTGGACATGTTGCTCCATTCTAAGGATTTAATGTTGAATGATTTTGTATGCCAATATTTTAACACATGGCAACATTATAATATTTCCTTTTCTGAAGAAAGAACATGAAATCATATTTGGTAATTGTATATACAATAAAGGTATTATCCATGAAAAATGGATATAAAACAATTTTAGTATTAAAACAGTCATGATTTTTTTCATTACAGAAAAATGTTAGTTTAATTTGTGTTTGCGGTAATTATATATATATATATATATTGGTAATTAAACTAAATATACGATCCCTGGGTGCATCCATGCCAAACAAATAAAATAAAACAAACACCAGGGTAAAATAATCAAACTCTAGGAGTTTAATGTTACAGTACCAAATGCCAAGCTTTCGTCAGCGTTCTGCTGACATCATCAGGGCTTAAACGGTCAGTCTATGGGAGAGTTTTATAGTTCGAACTTGGTCTGCACATGGCCCCTGGACCTTGTTACTGGTCCTGGTTGTATCAGCTGCGCTCCAGCGGTGATCCTTCCTCCGCACAGATAAGTCTTGCAGGATGGGGACAACCAGCGGAGGAAGGATCACCGCTGGAGCGCAGCTGATACAACCAGGACCAGTAACAAGGTCCAGGGGCCTTGTGCAGACCATAGCTGCCCATTTTGATTAAAGTATTATATAATGGTTAAACAACAATAAAATCAGTTTTACAATAATAAGTTGATTCCTTGCTGATATTGTCCTTATTACAAACTCAGGAAAAAAACTATTCTCTCAAATTACTTATTAAAACATACTTATTTGAGAGTTTGTATATAAACATATACATTCATTCCAGTGAAAAAAATTGTAAAGGAATGCCAATGAAATTACAGTGAATTGCTGAAATCAATTTGCGAGTTATCAAACACTTTTCTATGGGAAATACTGAACTGAAGACTGAACTTTATTTTCTTTGTAGGAAGTTTGTTATTTCAAATGTCTTTAGTTATTTGACATCAATCAATGAAGATTGATTTAATCAGAAATTTTAATGAATGTTGTTCTTCTAAACATATTTTGGATTATTTTTTCATGTATAATCTCACTAATAATATGATATCATCTAATTTGTCATAAATACCTAGAGTTATTAGATTTGCATATTTAAATACAATGACTGTAACAATCTTTGTTTATGTTAGGTTTCAAACTACAATGAAATATTGTAAAAAAGCATAAACAAAGAGACTGGAATTGTATATAAACTTTTAATCATTTTAGCATTGATATATATTAATAATATCTCTACCATTTAAAAAAATACTTTTAAAATGGTTAATTTGTATTAGTCTGAGCCAATGCCTAGATTTTGTTGTGGACTAAAAGCTTTATGGCCTTTGAGCTTCCCATTTACAATTTGATCAGCAATTTTTGTTCTGCATTTGTTGAAACTTTAGTAGAGCTTTCTGAACTGGAAAAATTAACCAAGGATTTCTCTGCAAAGTGCAGCCTTAGGAGATATCAGTGTTTAGGAATGGATGAGCACCAGGCAGCATGACCTGGAAATTATTGTGACTGCTTTGAACATTTCACTTGTATTTATTCTGAATACATTCAAAAGAAAGGGGACTTATATGTTGAAAAAAAATGAAGTGTTTTTTTTCCCCTTATGCCTTCTACATATATTCCAGAAGAAAAATGCTCAGTTTAGCGGCCTGGAGAGAATATAAGTTTTAGTACTACAAAATGCTTTTAGTAGCCCATTTACTCTTCAGATGTCAGAACAAGCCACTGGGCTTGGTATATTTTTTTCAATTTTTGGGAAAAAAACATCTTTAAAATGACACTAAAGCTCTGGATTAAGAGAGATGAACTATGGCTAGGTCAGAAATTTAAGCACCATGAGCGTTGTAGTCTCATGCTTCCAGCTGACAAAGAGACTTAAAAATCAATAAGCTGGTATTGATTACAAACCAGATTATTATAATTATACCTTCAAATCAGTATTTGCTTCTGGTGACTGCTTGGACAGGCATCTGCAATTTTCCTGACAGGATTTCAGAATTAGTTCACTATTGTCTTCTTTCTAGGGCTGAGACAGAATAACTGGCCCAAGGTCACTCAGATGGTTTTGTGTTTAAGGCGGGCCTGGAACTCACAGTCTCCCATTCTCTAGCCTGGTACCATCACACAAAATTTGTTCGTGATTAGATTAGATTAATTAGATTAGATTAGATTAGATTAGATTAGACTAGACTAGACTAGACTAGACTAGACTAGATGATTGAATTCTTCTCTAAACCTTATGTCAATCCTACCTGAGTTCATCCTAATACTTAAGGAGCAGTAGATGACAAACTTTTCTAGGACCTTAAAACACATTACAAGCTCCTTTGTAATATGATACATTTGAAATTTTACAGACAGCATTTTAAAATGTGGTTACCATAAGACATCAGTATAGGAACTTCTGTATAACTATGAAACATTTGAAAAATGGCACTCATAGGATCTCAGTACTTGGTCAGAGTGACAGAACTGACATTATGGGGCCATGGAAAAGGGGCAGAATTTGTGTCATGATGCTGCTTTCATTGGTCTGTCGCCCTTTGCTTCCCTCCCCCCCCCTGCTGCTGTTGAAAAAAACACTGCTTGGATAATTTGGAATGATTAATTTAGGTGCTGAGTTACACAAACCATCCTGCCTTAAAATATGTATGACTGTTATTAATACATAATTCATGGGGAAATCTTCGGTAGCAAATGTATTAATTTAGTTGCAAATGTTTGTCCAGGAAGATCATTTGTGCATATAAATATCTCAATGGGCATTGCATTTTATTTAAAACATGATCATACTTTTTATTGCTTTTTAAATTTAAAATTTGTCCTTCTCATGCTCTTTCTGTGTACTGATTGTTTATTGTGTGTTTTGTTTTTTGTTTGTTTGTTATTTTGTTGTTTTTTTTGTCTGCTACAATTTTCATCATGTAGGCAAAATGCAGGATGGGAATATGGAAAACAGCCAGAATAAAGGTAATGTTCTTTATATCAAGGGAGATTGTTAAAATTACTCTAGAAAGCAAAATATTAGTGAAATCCGAATTGAGAGTTGCATTTGGGTAAAAGGTCAGTCTTTCCTTCCACAGAAGTTGTTTGTAGAGATAGGTAGGAATGAGAAATCTCATCACTGGAAATTAGGCTATTTAGAAGCTCCTGCCAGTTTTGTGATGTAAGTATTAGAAAAAATAATGTATGGTGGATAAAACATAAAAATGAAATTCTAAATAGCAAAAGTGCGATCTCATGAAAATGACCAGATCAAGCATATTTATAGAGAATGCTTTGTATTGTTACAGTAAAAGAAAGTGTAAAAAAGCAATTCATTTAAAAGCAAGAAGTTAAAAAAAAAAGAGTTCAAAAAAGTAGCTTGTTATTACAGAAGGGTCAAAGAACTCCATTGCTTGTGGTTGTTTAAATCTTTATGTTGGAAGTAAAATCCATATCCTTTGTTAGTCTGAACAACTGAAATGTCTGAAACAATTCTTAATAAAATGAAAACAAAGAGAATAGTCAGCAAGACATTTTATTTTCTGCTAGTATCAGTGAGAGTCTTATTTACTCAGCAAGCTTTATCAAAATGTAAAAATTGTTTCTCTCATATCTTTAATAATTTTAACCATTTATGTTACTTAGTGAAAGGATTAGCCCTACAGCTTTGATAATCTTGGTTTATACATACAATATGGATACACACAAATACACACAACCGCCCCCACACACACAATCTTAAACATGCACATGCATGCATACAGTCTGGCATTGAAAGACTTGATTGCATATATTTAGTTTCCAATATTTTTCAGCAAGAATGTGACAAATCAATATTTCCCTTATCATTTGTCTGTACAAAATTTGTGATATATAAACATGTATTTAATATATTATGTCTAAATTATCCTTTTTGAACTGAAGAAGAAAATATAAATAAAAAAACAGAAAAGTTTTGAGTAGCATATTATTTTGTTGATTTTTAACTGGGTTTTTTAAAGGTTTTTATTAAGTTGTGTTTGCTGATTGTACACATCCAGAATGACAATTGTTTTAGATGGGCAGCAATATAAATTTCTTAAATACATACATGTAAAATTATAGAATTAGGAAGTAATTTGGGCATCACTAATCCAGGATTGTTCTTGAGTTACTTCAATCAGTGTATGAGCATATGTGGGAAGTGGAGATTAACAGATCTGGTAATCTGGTAGATCTCAGATTACTTACCTCTAACCTACCTCAGTTCTCTGATGATAAAGTGAAGTACTTCAGTGTTGATTTCCTTAAAGTTTTTAAAGTAAGTCTTCATAAACATTTGTATATATACCATAGATTCAGTCCACCTTCTGACTGTCATGGAGAAAAATTGAAAGTACTTTGAAATATTAAATTTTATTTATTTACTTATAAAATTTATAAGCTGCTCATTTTACATAATTCTGGGCAATTTAGAATCATAAAAAAATAAAAACTATATAAACTAAAAACATTAAATTATTATTTTTAATTCATATATAACCATTGAGTGAATTCATGAAACACCATAGCACTGCTGGAAAAAATTGTAGATTTATGATTATGCAGTTGTAAATAAAACACATTTATTGTAAAAGTAGTAAAATATATAAATTTATTTAATAATGTAAGATTACTCAGTCTGTAGTGAATGCATAGATTAGCTGTGTGGATTAATTCATCCAGGCTGAAGATAAAGTAGCAAAATATTTTATATCCAAAGTTCTTATAGTATGAAGAATTATTAATGATTATTTATGGTAATGGTTAATTCTATTAAAATTATAATCCTGGTTCTTAGCTTTTCTAAGGCATGTATAATCCCCCCAAATACTGCTTTGTATTTAAGCCAAACAGCAGGATGGGGCAGCTGCAATGGAGATGCAGCCACTCAAGAGTGCTGAAGGTGGAGAGGGAGATGATAAAGACAAGAGGAAAGCCAACATGCCTAAGAAAGAGAAATCTGTCCTCCAAGGGAAGCTAACTAAATTGGCTGTCCAAATAGGCAAAGCAGGTAAGATACATATTGATATTGTATATATTAAGTGAAAAACCCAAAAATAAGAAGCACCATGACTTATTTTCGCGGGATGTCTTACTCACCTCCGGCACTGCCAGCCCCACCAGCTGGTCCACTTCTTGTGGGGCCAAAGGATCAGCTTCATTCTGCAGCTGCATTCCAGCCTGCATTTTGCAGTCAGGCCTTTCTGGAAGGCCTATGCAGCCAAGTACCGAGCCATGGATTCAATCCATAGCTCAGTCTTCGGCTGCAGAGATCTTGCAGAACAGAGCTATGGATTGAATCCATAGCTCCGTTCTTGGCTGCCCAGGCCTCCCAGAAAGGCCTGTGACTGAGAAGCACAGGCCTGGCTGCAGAAGACATCACAGAAGAAGTGGGCCAGTGAGAAGACGCCTGGCTGCGAGGTAAGTGGGTGCGGGGCATGTGGGGTAGATCCGCCCCCCACCCCTGCCCTAGCTTGATTTTTAAGTGTGTGCCTCGCCCCAAAACTAGGGCTTATTTTTGAGGTAGGGCTTATATTAGGCCCACACTCAAAAATCAAGCTAGGGCTTATTTTTGGGGTAGGCCTTAATTTCGGGGANAGCCTGCTCTAAAATACCCCATATAAAACCCCTAGCAAAGCCCAATCAAAACTACGCCAGGCCGGCCGCATGGAATAGATGGGTTTTCAAGGCTCGGCGGAAGAGGCGCAGGTCCGTAGTTGTACGTAGGTCGGGGGGTAGGTCATTCCAGAGGGCAGGAGCTGCCACAGAGAAGGCTCTCCCCCTGGGGGTCACCAGCTGGCATTGACTGGCCGACGGCACCCTAAGGAGGCCCTCTCTTTGGGAGCGGACTGGTCGAAGGGAGATATTTGGTAGGAGGCGGTCTTGCAAATACCTAGGTCCATTGCCATGGAGCGCTTTAAAAGTTGTTACTAAAACCTTGAAGCGCACCCAGAAGGCCACCGGCAGCCAGTGCAGCTCACGCAGGAGAGGTGTTACATGGGAGTATCTAAAGGCCCCCAAAATCCCCCGCGCGGCCACATTCTGAACTAGCTGGAGCCTCCAGGTGCACCTCAAGGGGAGCCCCATGTAGAGAGCGTTGCAATAGACCAGGGGGGAAACGAGGGCTTGAGTGACCGTGCGTAGGGCGTCCCGATCCAGAAAGGGGCACAACTGGCGTATCAGGTGAGCCTGATGAAAAGCCCCCCTGGTCATGGCCGTCACATGATCGTCTAAAGACAGCCGAGCATCCAGGAGGATGCCCAGGTTGCGGGCCCTCTCCGCGGGAGCTAATGACTCGCCCCCGATAGCCAGAGATGGAGCCAACTGGCTATGATGTGACGCCGGAAACCACAGCCACTCTGTCTTGGACGGGTTGAGTCGAAGCCTGTTCCTCCCCATCCAGACTCGCACGGCCTCCAGGCACCGGGACATCACTTCCGCGACATCGTTGGGGTGGTCCGGGGTGGAGATGTACAGCTGGGTGTCATCTGCGTACTGATGAAACTCCACCCCGAAATCTAATGTTAGATTTCTAACATTAGTTTGCAGAAAACTGTCCTAGAAAATTTGAGAGAGCAATACATCAACACTTTCTAACATGTGCTGCTAAATCAAAATATAGTTGTTTGGTTTCAGGCTGATGTGTAAAGAATAAATATGGTTTGTAATTAACATGATGTGTAAGTTCAAACAACTTTGATTTATTAATCATCATCAAACCACAGTTTACAACAAACCTATTCTTATTGTCAACAAGAGAAAAGGGGAAAAATAATTTTCTTTCTTCTCCCCATAGCATCTGGAATGCACAATTATAATTCTAATCATTCTAACATTTTGTCTTTTACTATTGCACAAATATGGGTCAAATTAACAATTGACTATAGCAAGGATATGCAACATGTTCAAAATTTGAAATACCCTTTTTCTGTTCAAAACAGATTGCTTCAAATTCAAAGAAATTCAAATATGAAATGTTTTACACAGCTGTCACTATAAAATGAAACCCAATTCAAAGAAATAATAAAAATCTTTAGAGCAGCATGGAAACATCTATACCCCATTTGATATGAGAATTGCATTTTTTCAGTTGTGTATTGCATATATCAGTGTTCTTAAATTTAGATATTATACATTTTTCAGGAGACACTGTACAAAGTATATATAGTAGAAGAGAATTTTTAAAATTTCTGAACTATACTAGTTGTAATAAACCTTTATTCCTGTATTCTTGCTGATGTTATGACATCAGTGACTCTTAGATGTGCATATCTAACAATGTTCTCTTTATTTCTACAAATTAAAACATCCTCCATCTTTCACTTTTCACAGTCAAAACTTCAAATGACTAATTTCATTTAAATTTAGCAGTTTGTATGTCACTTTGAATATAAATATGCAAGCTAATTACATGCTTTTTTGAAAAATGTGTGTATGATTAAACTACAAAGACAGAAGTTGCTGTAACAAGGTTAATATTCTGATAATGAATAGATAGAAACCATTTATCTTCTTTCTATATTAAACTTTCTGCATATTGTAGTGTTTGAAATATACCTGTTTGTGATACATTCAGGAGACTAAGATATAATTAGAATAGGTGCAAGTAAATTGACACATGCCAGTAGAGCTGCAGGCCATTGGCAATTTAATATAAAGTGTTAGGAGAAGGAAGG